ATAAAAGTCAACAATCGTAATGATAACTTGAAAAATTTCGAAATCAGCTAGTTAGTACACAGCACTTAACCTAGTTCTTTGACCTGGTGACGTCACGACGCTATCTAATATGGCGGCCATCATTTTGCAGATTTGATTTGAGGCACAGGTAAAAAAATATTCTATAAATTGAAATATAAAATTTGTATTGCATTTTTATAAATGAAAATGAATATTTCTCGTTTACTTTTTACAAAATCTATGATAAATATATATTCTTTGATTTTTTTTACATAGTGTAAAATACCTATACGCCTTGCAATACATAACGCAGTGTTGTTACCGACTTTGTTATATGGCAGCGAAACCTGGGTATGGCAGAAGAAGCATAAAAGCAAGTAGAATGCAGTGGAGATGCGATCTCTTCGTAAAATGTGTGGCATTACCATGGCCGACCGAAAGCGAAACGAAGAGATTCGCAATATGGCAGGTTTGAAAGATGACCTTATCACAAAAATTGATATGGGCGTACTTCGGTGGTTTGGGCACGTTGAGCGAATGAGTGTAGACCGAATGGTGAAGAAAATATATAGCGCGAAAGTTAATATTAAAAGGTGTCGAGGTAGACCGAGACTAACTTTCGAAGACCATGTGAGCAAATTGCTCGAAGAGGGTTGGGTCAAGAGTACTCGGATACCTAGACGTGCATGTATGAAGAAGATAATGAATCTGAAAGAAGCGAAAGAGATATGTAAGGATCGTGACACTTGGCGATCTGTTCTCTCTGGCTACACCGTCAGGGACTGTGCGTGAAGATAAGTAAGTAAGTGTAAAATACCCTATTCTGTCAAATATTATATACCTCACTTTTAAGTGGCGCCGCCCTGGTGGCAGAAAAAGTCGTGGATGCCCTCATTGTCGCAGCGTTAGAAGAAGCATCGTAGCTTGTGCCGTTTGAACGTTTACTCAACATACGTCTGCAATTACGGTTACCATTGGTATTCCTTGAGACGACATATTTTAGATGAGTTTTACAAGTTCCTCCTCTTCATTCCTAGCCTCAACCATACAATGTTCCGCTGTTTGTTCCCACCATTGGCAAACTTAATTACGCGTTGCTTCATATAACCGCAGAGGTACGGCGGGATGTCTCCATGGGCAAGAACAATATGAAGCTGGATATATCAAGCATCAGTAGATATAATGTCTGCTATAACTTCCTGATTTATGCCCATTTTATTATCGCCTTAGAGCACTTTGTCTAGCTTTAAATTCTCAACATAAATTTTGTAAAGAAGTTTATCATTTTAATGAAGACCAGTTCTTTGTTCTTTATTAATACTGTTACTAAAAAAAAAATTTCAATCATTCTCCTATCTTTTGTCTTACATTCTTTAACTGCACATGCTCCTCTTGAAAAAAAAAAGACAACATTAGTACCTAAAGTAAAATAATTAAACAAAATCTCATTACTTTTAACTTTTTCCATTCTTTTCTTATCAACACTTGGAACTTTCTTACTTTGCCTGAAGTTAAACCATAAACTATTAAGCACACAAACCTTGTTATTTATGTGTCATCTAGCTAAATTTACCAAAATTTTAACTAAATTTTTCTATTTTCGTTTTCTTTTATTTGCCAAAAATAGCTTGGTTTTATTTTCTATTAAATCTGAATCATAATTTGCTGTCACTCTAAAATAAATATTGTCGGTCATCAAAGTAATGATAAAATATTATACTTTATAAAGGTAACTAAGACTTGACGGATAACACTATTATAATACACTATCCTCGTATGCATGGCAAACGTCAGGCCCTGGCATCGCTGATATACAGGGTTATTTTGCAATAACTAGCCAAATTTGCAGAGTAGATGCAGCATAAGTAATATAGGCAAATCATCATCATCATCATCATTACAGCCCTTCACAAGTCCACTGCTGAACATAGGCCTCCCCCAAAGAATGCCACAAAGCACGGTCCTGAGCCACCTGCATCCATCGACTTCCTGCATATCTTACCAGGTCGTCACTCCATCTAGTGGGGGGACGCCCTACACTTCGCCTGCCGGTACGAGGCTGCCACTCGAGAACCTTTCTTCCCCATCGGTTGTCGGTTCTTCGAGCTATATGGCCGGCCCATTGCCACTTCAGCTTACTGATCCGTTGGGCTATGTCGATCACTCTAGTTCTACTGCGGATATCCTCATTTCTGAGTTTATCACGCAGAGAAACTCCGAGCATAGCCCTCTCCATAGCTCGCTGAGCGACCTTGAGCTTCCTCATCCGGCCAGCAGTGAAGGACCACGTCTCAGTTCCGTATGTCATCACTGGCAACACGCACTGGGTGTACAGTCTCGTTTTCAAGTTTTGAGGTATACCTGACGAGAAGATGTGCCGTAATTTCCCGAACGCTGCCCAACCGAGTTGAATCCGTCGATTGACCTCTCGGTCGAAGTTGGACTTACCTAGTCGGACTATTTGTCCCAGGTAAACATACTCGTCAACAACTTCGAGCTTAGTGTTCCCAACAACTACCGGCATAGGTGTGACATGGACATTAAACATAATCTTTGTTTTGTCCATGTTCATCTTAAGACCTATCCGTTGGGAAACACTATTGAGGTCATTGAGCATAGTGCTTAGGTCCTCCAGCGATTCTGCCATAAGGACTATATCGTCGGCAAATCGAAGGTGAGTGATGTACTCGCCATTGATGTTGATACCGTATCCTTTCCAGTCCAGAAGCTTGAAAACATCTTCCAATGCAGCGGTAAAGAGTTTCGGGGATATGACGTCACCCTGTCTTACACCTCTCTGCAATTGGATAGGTTTCGTACTCTGGTTCTGTACTCGGATAGCCATCGTAGCCCTACTGTACAAGCACTTCAACACTTCGATATACCGACAGTCAACTTGGCATCGCTGAAGGGACTGCAGCACCGCCCAAATTTCGACGGAATCAAAGGCTTTCTCATAGTCCACATACGCCAGACATAGTGGCAAATTGTACTCCTCGGACTTCTGTACAATTTGCCGAAGGGTATGTATGTGGTCTATGGTGCTAAAGCCTTTTCGGAAACCGGCTTGTTCGGGAGGCTGGAAGTCGTCAAGTCTGCGCGCGAGACGATTCGTAATGACTCTCGAAAACAGCACGTAGACGCGGCTCAGAAGGGAAATCGGTCTGTAGTTCTTCAAGAGAGCGTTGTCGCCTTTCTTGAAGAACAAGACCACCGCACTTCTGCTCCACGCCTCCGGTGTAATGACACCATGGAGGACGGAATTAAAGAGCTTCTGAAGGACTTCAAGTACCGGTTTTCCACCCGCTTTCAGAAGCTCCGCTGTAATTCCATCCTCGCCTGGGGCCTTGCCGTTTTTAAGGTGCTGGACAGCCATTCTAATCTCGCTCAGACTGACGTCCGGGATATCATCGGAATAATGTCGGATAAGACTCGCTCTTGGATCGTTACTCACACTTGCGTGCGGCTCCAACGATGACGTGTACAGCTGCCCATAGAACCTCTCAATCTCACTCAAAATCTCAGGTGCCCCGGAAACGATGCTGCCACATTCTGTCTTCAGCTTTGACAGTTGGCGCTTTCTGGCAGACAGATCTCTGGCAAAGACTTTGGAGCCTTGGTTCCGCTCGATCGGTTCTTCAATACGAGCTGTATTGAATTTGCGTAAGTCCCGCCGCATGCATTTGGAGATCTGTCTGTTCAGTTGCCTGTATGCTGTTAAATCTGTTGAAGAATGTAGCTTCATCTCCCGTCTAACAGCCATGAGATTAAGAGTGTGATCGGAGAGTTTTTGTGTTCTTCTGCGGTGGGTCTTGCAGAACTTAGCTCCGACCGCATGGACAGTTTCCACGAGCTTGTCATTCAAATCGTCCACTTCATTGCAGTCTTCTAGGCACTGAAAACGGTTTTGTAACTCGAGCTGAAAGGTTTCGGGACTTTGGATTAGAGCACGAGGGGGACGGAGCGTTGACTTCATTAGACGAGACCTCTCCAACTTAACGTTTAGGTTCAGTGTGCCTCTAACCATCCGGTGATCGCTGCCGGTTTTCACCCTCGCGATCACTGAGACATCACTGAACAGTTGTCGTCTGGTCGTCATAATGAAGTCAATCTCATTTTTTGTCGAACCGTCGGGGCTCGACCAGGTCCACTTCCTGTGGGGCCGCTTCTGGAAGAAAGAGTTCATCATAAAGAGTCCCTCTTTCTCCATGAAGTCAGCCAACTGCTGGCCCCTTGGGTTCCGTTGCCCTATTCCAAATTTCCCTACTTTCAGCTCACCGTTCTCTCTTGTGCCTAGTTTTGCATTGAAGTCTCCCATTAACACCGTATATTGGGTTTTGGAGGAATGCATGGCTCTAGAGATATCCTCATACATTTCCTCCACCTCCTGATCGGGGTGTGCCGAGGTTGGTGCGTAAACCTGTATGACCTTCAGCGAATACCGTTTGGTGATTCTGAGTATAAGGTACGCAATATAGGCAAATGGTGAAGAAAAATTAGCACAAAAAAATCTGAAACATTCTGTCCTTTTTGTCTTTTAAATTAAAAATGCATGGTAATGCATTATTTTAACTGAATTTACTGAGCACGCAAACATTCGTAAGGGTCGATCGGTAGGCAAAAATGTTGTTTCCCATAAATCACATTCAATTTAGGATAATTTCTAATAAAAGTAGAAGCTTTATTTATTCGTAATTTTAAAAACTGCGGTGTATCATTATTTATGTATTTGAACTTAAGTTTTAAATTAGGCTAGGTACTCTTGGAAAAATAAACCTGTATATACAATAAACAATAATCTATGAGTCAGACAAAGCGCCGAGCGACGTGACCTCTCCCTGGAAAGCCTAGCTTGCTACATATTTATTTATCTAAGGGAAATAAATATGTAGCAAGCTACATCTTAAATAAAACGGCTAAAATGTAAATTTTATATTATTATTTATAATTAATTACATGCCTTACAATTATACATACAAATAAATACAAATGAAAAATATCTATTTCACTCCACTTCTTGATTTCACTTGTAACAAATGACCACTGATTGGTCGCAAGGCTATGTCTATTTTAAGCTCCATTTTGTCCGCTTCTGACACGAATTCGTATTCCCTCACACTGTGCACTAAGACCGTTTTCATTAATGTCACTGCGTAACGTTTACCTGCAAATTAAATAAAGTAACTCACTAAGGTCACCCCGTCATCTTTATATATAAAAAATACGTGTCACATTGTTTGTCCGCGGTGAACTCCTAAACTATTGAACTGATTTCAATGAAATTTTGCACACTGTGTGCAGTTTGGTCCAACTTGAGAGATAGGATATTTTTTATCCCGATAAGTGACCTTCAATATTTTTTTATTGCGAATTTAAGGATTTTTTCATAGGAAGGGTCGTCGGAAAGGGCAGAACAACGTCTGCCTGGCCAGCTAGTAATACATATATAAGATATAGGTAAGGAAATAGTGTTCTATAGCCTTCAACATATTCGATCGCGATTTATTTGGTTCTATCTTTGGTAGTCAAAGCCGTGGTAGCTCTGATGGTTAGCACTCGCTGTAAATTTCACAGTACGCGAGCAAACCGGGTTTGATCCCCGCCGGTACCAATGAAATTGTTAATTGCAATTTTAAGTGCTGATTTACCATGTGCTCGGCGGTGAACGAAAACATCCTGAGAAAACCTGCACGTCTGAGGAATAAGAAAAAAAATATTTCGAAGACATGTGAAGTTAATCAATACGCATTGGGGCAGCGCGGCGGTCACTTCCTTGCCTTAAAACCCTCAGAGATGACGGGAGGTCTGTGCCCAGCAGTGGGACGTATTTAGGCTGTAACTTTACTTTAGTTTACTTTTATTTGGTTCGGCTGAGTTCGTTCAGCCTTCGGTGGTAAATCTAATTTCTTTAATTTCTATTTGTCCATCATTTCGGTGTTGAACAAGATGTTTGCGACGCCTCAGATTCAGGGGAACATTACAATTGTACATAATAGGTTAGACTATGCTGTAGTGTCAGAATTATAATCTAAGAATAATTCTAAAAATTGATTTAGGAATTGGCTTAGGGGAAAAACATTTTTTACTGAGAGAGTTTCTAATAATTGAGTAGTAAAACTAAAATCCACTAGATGAGCAGCTACTTGTCGACATAAACAGGTACTAGGGTGATACATACCCAGAATTCTAGGCTAAAAAGAGCCCTATTACTCAGTAAGATCCCAATATTGGTTTACCTATACAAGCACGTTTTCCGGTGCTAAAGGTCAAGAGTGAGGTAGCACCCATTGAGGCGACGTTGGGGTCCAGCCAGCGTTCAGGTTTGTACTGCAGAGCATCAGAGCCCCAAATATGTTTCGAATGGCCAGAGCCCCAAAAGCTGATGCAACACGTTGCACCTTTGGGTACTGTGCAGGATTCTAAAACAGATATTAGGTATAGAAAGTTCAACAACAATATGAGACTGAAAATTATAATATAAAACAAGACTTATGTTACTAGAAAGAAAGACCGTGTATCATCAGCACTACTGATAAGGTCTAAGCATGTAACTTGTCCTCACCTACATGTGACTTAACTCTCATAAAATAACACTAGGTAGGTTTTGTACGTGGTAGTTTTGTACGTGGTAGAGCCATGCTGCAGCGATATTAGTAGTATAGTTGTGGCACGAATGGGTCGGCTCGACCGAGGAAGGACCACGCTCTCACAGAATACCAGCGTAAAATGGCAGCTTGACACTGCTGTGTTTCGTATGGTGAGTGTAGAGAACCGAGGAAAGGAAAAGAGGCATTCCATCTTAGTCCTCACGGGTTTTATCGGATCTCACGGATCTGCATTTTGATTCGCAAACGAGGTTAGATGTAGATGTCTATGGGTCACAGCTACCACTTACCATCAGGTGGACTGTGTGCTCGTTTGTCACCCTATTATATAAAAAAAAGGTAACACTAAGTATAATTATGAAACTATTTGACTACAATAAACAAACATTTATGTTTCGCCCCAGAATCAACAGCTACAGATTCAAATCCATTGCGAACACAATAGTCATCATGCCAATAGTAGTTGACTGCATCGTTGGTCTATTGATCCGGGGTTCAAATTGCAATGTTCGCAAATTATTATGTTTTTCTGTCAATATTTCTTCTTTTATTCTCAGTAGCGGCCCGGTGTGAACCACGTATAGCCTGGTCCTGCGCCTGATCTCCCACCGGTCGTGTCGGGTTGCTGTCCCATCGGACTATGAGAGTGAGGGAATAAGAGAGTGCACCTGTGCTTGCGCATACACTCGGGTACTATAATCCTGTCCAGCGAAGATGGCTAGTCTCCGTTGAGACTGTCCGCCGTGATCGAAATTCCGTCTGGAGGACAATAATGGTAGTTATTTAGTTACACTGACTGAGCTTGATGTCCCGATCAGCTTGCCGTAGAACTCCAGGAACTGGCGGAAACAAACGCAACGTCTCATAAATTATAGCCTCACAGTATCTCAAGCGCGACAGATCTTCTTTCAGAACGGGACGCTTGCTCTCACCAAAAATTTCCTTTATCCTGAGAAATTATGCAGTACTTAGTATTAGTTTACTTATAGAGATATAGATACAATGAAGGCATCCACGATTTTCTGCCACCAGGGCGGCGCCATTTAGAAATGAGGTGAAATATTTGACAGATTTCATAGCGGGGGAAGTTAATTTGTTACAAAAGTGTAGAGATTAACGTTTCTTTCTGAAATATTGGTTGTATTAGTAGACAAATTTGAAAACAAAATAGAAACGTGTAAAAAATTAAAGAATGAGGCACTGGGGCATTGTTTTGTGTATATACGTTACCTATACATAAACCAGAAACCGCAAAACTTCTATACGTAACAAATAAGTTCACCTTAGGCCTAACTAAAGTAGGGTATCTGTTACGGCCCGCAGCTGCCCCTGCAAGGGTTCAATATCCCGGGGCCCATGAGCGGAAGATTCAACGGGCAGCCGCGGGTTCGAGCCCAAATGGCCTTATGGAAAATGTTCTATCCTACTACAATTTAATGGGGAGGCTAGTCAAATAAAGAGTACTTACCGGTATCTGAGGCGACGACTGTCTCAAGGCTCGGTCAGGACGGAGGTGTGTATGTGCATGTGTAATGGTGTTTTTAGTGGTGTGGATTGTGATTGACCTGAATGGACCGTTGAAGTCGGCAGCTACCCGGACTCCGGCACCGCTCCAAAGTATGGTAATCTCTAGCGGCGTCACCCACGCTCAATTTCTTTCTTCTTCACTATGTCAGTCTATTAACTTTATTGTACATTTAACTAACTTCAAAACGCAACTAAATCCCGTTGCTTATAATCAAAAACGTAACACGACACGAATACCGAATGTTCGGATCAAAGGTCACTTCCGTCTCGCGTGGCAACAAATTATTTCTAGAACCTAACACGACCTTCTCTAGTGTCACAAAGTTCAGCGTTCAACCGACAACGGAAAATGTCTCCGAACTATATCAAATGCCGCACGAGCAAATTAATATTGTCAAATGCACTTATATACGCTATCAAATTAGAATAACCAAATTCGCGGTAAATTAGGCGCGCACGACACACAAATTCAGACGTTGATCGCAATCAATGTTAACTTCCTAACAATTTGTCAACTCGGCGTCTAATTCTAGACTACAATTCCTCGTCGTTGCACAATTTGCTAACAAAACCGACTCTAAAAAATGGAGGTTATCCCGAGCGACTTCACGACGTGCTATCGACAGCACTGCTTTCAAGCAACTAACTTCTGCGCTCGCGCCCTCTGCCAAAGCCACTCTGCTCGCCCGAACATCAAAACCGGTATGGCACCGAGCCGAGCGCCCTCCGGCATTAAATCTTGAAACCAGCGTTTGGGCGTGAACAGTATCAAAATAAAGGAAATTAAAGTGGAATTATAAAAATATACATAAGTTATATATTTAAATTTAATTAGGTATAATAAAATTGCTTAAAAAGTTTTTGATAGCGTAAAAATGGGCCAAGTTAGTGTCGGACCTCGTACTATTATTATATGAAATTTAGTTCATATCAGTGTGTCGGGACACTAGAAAGTCCATAATAAAGTAAATAGTTTAAAAAATCAAAAACCCAACTGCAAAAAAGACAATTTAAAAGTAATGCACTAAGAGACCGAAACAAGATTGAGAATAGAAAACATAATTAAAATAAACTATGAACAAAGTAAACTCTACTTCGGTTTATTATGAGCTGGAAGCCTAAGTTAAATACCCGCATTAAGTTTAGTAGCAAGCGGAAGTCGGTTTATAATTTGCAATTGGGTCCCGCCTGCTATTAAACATAATGCGAGTATGCAATCTTTTTTCGGTCTTTTTAGTGCATTAGGTACCAAAAACTTTTAAGCAAATTTATTATTCCTATTGAATAAAACTATTTTTACGGATTTTATCGCGTTTAATTAACTTATTTTATATTCCCGACGTTTCCTAATTATTATTCCTAATTAAATTTAAATATAGAACTTATGTATATTTTTGTAATTCCTTTTTAATTTCCTTTATTTTGTTACCCTACTTTAGTTAGGCCGAAGGTGAACTTATTTGTAACGTATTCTATATCTTTTTTGCAGACGGGTTTTATACTTTTTTAATTTTTTATTTCCCACACATGCAGTTAACCAACGTAAAATAGCAGCTTAACGCTGCTGTGTTTCGTATGGTGAGTGTAGAGAACCGGAGACCCTTTTTACTGGCAAAGAGGCATTCCATCTTAGTCTTCACGGGTGACAACGCATCTGCATCTTGAGTCTTTATTGAGGATAGATGTAGATGTCTATGGGTCACAGTAACCACTTACCATCAGGTGGACTGTGTGCTCGTTTGTCACCCGATCCTATAAAAAAAATGCAGGTTCACGATGTTTTTCTTCACCGCCGAGCACGTGGTAAATCGGCACTTAAAATTACATCTAACAATTTCATTGGTGCCGGCGGGATCAAACCGGGTTGCTCGCGTACTGTAAAATTTACAGCGCGCGCTTGTGAAATTTACATCTATATAGTCTGGTGTAGTTCTATAGTGGTGTAGTTTAATTTTACCGTAGTTTTTTATTTTTGGTCGTTATTATTAAGACCCCGCGTCTTACGACACCCACGGGATGATATAAGACAGTGGATATGCTTACACCGCCGCTATATTATGGTAAAAATATGAATGAAAATTATGTAATGATGAAAAACTTACTCTTTATACAATTTCTGTTGAACGTCAGGTTTGCATCCAAGCATAAGAAAGATGTAATTAATAGCAGTCGCAATGGTCTCCTGGCCGGCTAAGATTATAGTGTCTATTTCGGCTTTTATGTGCTCCTCTGTTAGAGTGTGATCTGTGTCATTCATTTGCAAAATAATGTCGAGGAATGTCTTGAATTTTACTTCGCCATTTTCTAAGAAAAATAAATCAATTTTAGTAGATAGGTAACTAACAAATTTCGATAACGTGGTAACTAACAAATTTCGATAACGTTTTTAGTTAAGTTATAGATTTCGGTTCCATTTTGAGAATGCGAATTTTCATCAGATCTCTATGTTTTGAGGTCTTAGGAAGCCGTTCCGACTATTCCCGGCTGGACGTCAGGCCGTATGTGTGTGTGTATGCATGTGTGGAAATGAAATTTTGTCATACGATATCTTTAGAACGAATGAATCGATCGAGATGGGCGACACGGCGTTCGAAAGTGTTCATTGAGACTTCGAGCCGATTAGAATTTTAAGACAGAAGAATCGGTCAAGCCGTTTCAAAGATGTTCTAAAAATAAAAACATAAAAAACAAAAAAAAATACTCAACCGTTTTCATATTATTTAAAACTGAAATATGGGTAACAATCGGGCACAGTCCAGCTAATGGTAAGTTAATGCTGTAGGCCATAGACACCTACATCTATGTCAGATTAAGGATCAAATGCTGTCGTCGTCATCTCTGAGGACTAAGATGGAATGACTCTTTACCAGAAAAAAGTATCACTCACCTAGCTGATGCATACAACTGCTAATTTATACTGGTATTCTGTATTATATATAGTATATTTGCATATATTTCTCGTATTATAGTATAGTTGTTCACTGAACAACTATACTATGATACTGAACAATGTTCAGTGCGCATTCGAACTAGCAGCACCGCAGTCTAACGCTTAGGTACTGCATTACTGAACCGTTTATATGTTTAGATGGATTTTCAATGTGATCTGTGAATCACAGTAGGCGTAATCTGACGCCCTTGGCAATTTTTTTTATAAAGCTGCCTTCATCATTCATCATTACAGCTTATCAAGAGTCCGCTTCTGAACGCAGGCCTCCCCCAAAGATTGCCACAAAGTACGGTCCTGAGGCACCAGCATTCATCTACCTACATTACTCTATTTAGATAGAGTCTACTATAGCCTACTGATTTTCTGATTTATAAATAAGTAATTTAGTTCTCCAAACTGTTAGTAAAAGATACGGGTGTAAATATTTTGTTGCACAAGAACCTTTGTTCGTTGAATCTGAAATTTTTGCTGTTTTCGCTTCTTCCATTTCTTTTCTTCTTTTTCTTAAAATCTGTAATTATTTAAAATAATATAAGGATTTCGGCGTTTTTATATTGATTGGAGTGACAAGTTAAGAATACAGAATGCTATTCCTCTGTAACGAGAGTTGAATGAATCAACTTCAGAGGCCACAGATGCGTTGTCATTTTTTTTAAAACGTTACTTCCACACTTAGATTTTGTCCTGCATCATGGGGGCGAATTACATACATAAATTTCTCAAGGACAAACATCCAATCATTCTAAGGAGTAAGATGAATTAGGGCTAATAATATCCCACTCACCAGATATCGCTAGTTGTGATTGAGGTAAAGTTTTTTGTTACACAATGTTAGTTAGTTGAGAAATTAGTTTTAAATAATATTTTATCATTATCTAGAGTATTATATTAATACACAACACATTGCATCAGTGGTTTGATTTTTAATTTTTTACAAATGCGCCCGTACAAAATACAGTTGTCACAGTCATAGAGACATTTCATGAACCTAGATGATTAGTGATTATATTCACTTGGGGCAAGGAATATACTACTCTCTGATCTTCGGTCTCTCGCTTGCCTTTGTTCATCATACGAAGTCATCGGTAGGACCTTCTCCACAAAATACATTATATAATGCAGATGTTTTATTACGTTCTCTTTACCGTTTACTAAAATAACTCAGAAGGGTACTTTATGTAATGAAAATCAACTCCCTTAACAAGGAACCACTCCACTCTCTGACGAGAGCGAGAGACGCATAATCTCAGTTATTTAATATGTAAACGGTGTTCTCTCGTAGCCTTGCAATATAATTGCCATATTTAAATTGATTGTACTATTAATATTTTTTTATAATAAGGGCGACAAACTAGCACACAAGTCCACCTGATGGTAAGTGGATGCTGTGGCAACTATCTAGATGTTACCTATCCTAGATTTAGAATCAAAATGCAGATGCGTTGTCATTCATGAGGACTAAAATGGAATGCCTCGTTACTAGTAAAGGTTCTCTACACTGACCATACGAAATACGCAGCATTAAGCTAACGCTGGTATTCTGTGTTTTTTTTATAGGATAAGGGTGACAAACGAGCACACAGTCCACCTGATGGTAAGTGGTTGCTCTGGCCCATAGACATCTACATCTATTTTCGATTACGAATCCAAATGCAGATGCGTTGTCACCCATGAGGACTAAGATGGAATGCCTCGTTTCCAGTAAAATGGGTCTCCGGTTCTCTACACTTATCATACGAAACAGCAGCGTTAAGCTGCTATTTTACGCTGGTATTCAATTGATATTTTGGCTGGTATTGGTATGGTGAGTAATTTCTAGGATATGGTCTATATAATGTGTCGTGCATCGTCTAATCACACTACAATATAAAGATCTCATAGAATTTATATTTCAATAGATTTAAAGCCATTTTGTAGTTAATACTTACAGCATCGGAAACGTTTTGCACAACGCTAACGCACCGTTTAAACTCTTTGTATCCAGGAGTGAGACGGTACACGAACTCGGGATGAAGAAAAATGTTAAGTGCTCGACTAAAAATGAGCTCGAGAATGCCATTGAATGCTGCGTAATATTCTTTTGTAACAATAGTCTCCGTCACATCGTGCTCTCCGAGGGCGGTCTCTGAAAAACGAAATCAGTCATCTTCCTATTCATCATTCCCTAAGAGTCAGTCTGGAAACGGGCCTTTCCAACAGCATTTCGAGTGACACAAGAACCAAGGCAAAATCATGCTCAACTTATTGTAAAGATTCGCATTCACATATACATATGCATCTAAATAATTTCAAATTATATAATACATAAACACTCACACCTGTCACCAAGAGGGATAGGCACAGACTACGGATTTACATTTGGCACGATCCTGACACACCTCTCTCGCCTCCTTTCATCATCATTGCAGCCCTTCACGAGTCCACTGCTGAACATAGGGCTCCCCCAAGGAATGCCACAAAGCCCGGTCCTGAGCCACCTGCATCCATCGATTTCCTGTGTGTCGGTAGGTCGTCACTCCATCTAGTGAGGGGGCGCCCTACTCTTTGTCCGCCGGTACGAGGCCGCCACTCGAGAACTTTTTTTTCCTCATCGGTTGGCTGTTCTTCGAGCTATATGGCCGGCCCACTGCCACTTCAGCTTACTAATCTGTTGGGCTATGTCGGTCACTCTGGTTCTACTGCGGATATCCCCATTTCTAAGTTTATTATGCAGAGAAACTCCGAGCATAGCCGTCTCCATAGCTCGCTGAGCGACTTTGAGCCTCCTCACCCGGTCAGCATTGAAAGACCACGTCTCAGTTCTATAGGTCATCACTGGCAACACGCACTGATTGTACAGCCTCGATTTCAAGTTTTGAGGTATACCTAACGGTAATTTCCTGAGCCGAGTTGAATCCGTCGATTAACCTCTCGGTCGAAGTTGGACTTACCTAGTCGGATTATTTGTCCCAGGTAAACATACTCGTCAACAACTTCGAGTTTAGTGCTCCTAACAACTACATGTGTGACATGGATGTTCAACATGATCTTTGTTTTGTCCATGTTCACCATAAGACCTATCCGTTGGGTGGCACTATTGAGGTCATTGAGCATAGTGCTTAGGTCCTCCAGCGATTCTGCCATAAGGACTATATCGTCGGCAAATCGATGGTGAGGGATTTATTCGCCGTTGATGTACCTTTACCGTATCCTTTCCAGTCCAGAAGCTTGAAAACGTCTTCCAATGCAGCGGTGAAGAGTTTCGGGGATATAACGTCACCCTGTCTTACACCTCTCTGCAGTTGGATAGGTTTCGTACTCTGGTTCTGTACTCGGATAGCCATCGTAACCCTGCAGTACAAATACTTCAGCACTTCGATATACCGACATTCAACTTGGCACCGCTGAAGGGACTGCAGCACCGCCCAAATTTCGACGGAATCAAAGGCCTTCTTATAGTCCACATACGCCAGAAATAGTGGCAAATTGTACTCTGTACAATTTGCCGAAGGATATGTATGTGGTCTATGGTGCTAAAGCCATTTCGGAAACCGGCTTGTTCGGGAGGCTGGAGGTCGTCGAGTCTGCATGCGAGACGATTCGTAATGACTCTCGAAAACAGCACGGCTCAGTAAGGAAATCGGTCTGAAGTTCTTCTAGAGAGCGTTGTCGCCTTTATTGATCTCTCGCCTCCTTTACATCCATATATTTACGCACACACGCTCGTCGGTTACGGGTACTTTATGACTCTGCCGTTCACATCTGGAATATAAATTTGTTTTGTCACTTTTTGATCATTCATTCTTTCTACATGACCGAGCCACCGAAGCATTTCTTTCTTAATCCTGGTCACAACGTCATCTTGCAAACCACACTCTTCTCTTATCACACAATTTCTCACTCTGTCATTCAGATTCAGCCCTAGCATACTCCTTAATGACCACATTTCTACAGCATTTATTCTACTCTCGTGCTCTTCTGCCACACCCAACATAAACATATATATAATAGTACTTACTATACGTAGTTTTACCGAGAAAATTGGTAGCATCGATCATTAATCGATATTAATCAAAATAGAATCAAAATATTAGGTCCTTACATAATATGAAATTGGCGTTTTGTACGGGAGGAATATAAAGTCAATTGTAGTGTTATGCTACTTACTTATCATTTTACATTATTTTAAATTCATTTTTTCATTCTGTTTCGATTTTCTGCATTCACCTCAAAACTGGATATTTTACATCACCTTTATTTCCATAGGATCCTGTAACGATTTTAAACCATAAGAACACAATAACAAATCTTTTCTACTTCGTATTTTTACATTATCAGCACTTTTAAATTGGTGTCAATGGAGTCTACCTTTTTTCGATCTTTTATTTAGTTTTCCGTAACTCTGCAATTTCGGGCTTTGTGCGTGCAGTTGCGCTACCTTTTTTCCTATATCAATAATATCTCATTTTTCACTTAAATCTTGCCGTTTTTTTATTACAAGCCTAAAACCAAAATTTGACATGTTTTGACATTGTTGTTTATTTGGTCTCTATGGCAATTATATTCAAATTTGCTACCGGTCTGTTGTTTCTATTTCGATAATTCCACATAAATACTCTTTTCTCTTGACCATTTACAAAAAATTTGCGTTTAATTTAAATAATTTTTCCGTTCTCTCTAGAAAGATATAAAAGCCGAACAATCGGTGAAGAAATTCAGTCTCGCTTCAGTTCTCGAATTCGAAGCATCTCCTAAAGGCCTTATCCCGGGGCCGCACTGCCCCGGGATCCTGCAAGCCTCTGTCCTGCCTGAAGCCACTGGACTCTACGAACCTCTACTCTACCTGAAGTCGCTGGATCCTACAAGCCTGTGCTCTGCCTGTAGTCGCCGGGATCCTACAAGTCTCTGCTCTACCTGGAGTCGCCGGAACCTGCAAACCTCTGTTCCGCCTGAAGTCACCGGAACCTGCAAACCTCTGTCCCGCCTGCAGTCACCGGATCCTGCAGGCCTCTGTGCTGTCTGAAGTCGCTGAGGATCCTGCAAGCCCCTGTCTGGCCTGAAATCGCCGGATCCTGCAATCACCGCATTCACCTGAGGTCGTCGCCTAGAGACGCCCACGCCTTCTCACCTACGCCGTGCGTGCTCGTTCCAGGCGCTGAGAGCACACTTTGGATCTTCAGACTCAGCTTCGACACTAATCTCCTTTTTTTACTACCTTTTTTAAATAATTTGTAAATCACATCATCCATCCTCATCTTCATACTCCATTTTTGTTATATAAAATTGTAAATATCTTTTAAATCTTGAATATATTATTTATTTTTGTTCTATTTTTGTTGTTTTGCTGTTACTAGGTTAGGTTTTCTTTTGTATTTAATTGTCGCTTCACGACACAATTTTTTTTATAAAATATATTTAATTAATCAAAGTATGCAACTTTGTTATCTATGCACTTTTGCCATCTCATAGGTATTTCATTGATCCCTTTACTAAAAAAATAAAGAATCAATAAACTTTTTGAAGGCAGTTTGGACTGCCGCATCGAAGTTGAATTTTTTTCCTTGTAAGAAGTTGTCCAAATTCCGGAAAAAATGGTAATCTGTTGGAGCAAGGTCCGGGGAGTACGGTGGATGTCGCAGACATTCCAATTGTAGCTCATCTAACTCAGTGGTTGTTTGTTGTGCAGTGTGTGGTCTTGCGTTGTCGTGAAGCAGCAGTGGCCTAGAGCGATTGACCAATCTCGATTGTTTAGCAGCTAGTTTTTCCTTCATGGTTTGCAGTTACTGACAATAGATATCTGCCGTAATCGTTTGGAAAGATTTTAGAAAACTGTAGTGAACGACACCGGCGCTAGTCCACCAAACACTCACAAGTAACTTTTTCTGAGTCAATTTTTGTTTAGGGCAGGATTTGGCTGGGTCTCCAGGGTTCCGCCATTGCGACGAGCGCTTCAGATTATTGTACAATATCCACTTTTCATTACAAGTAATCATTATATTTAAAATCCCTTCATTATTGTGTCAGTTGAGCAAAGTAACACAGCAGTCGACGCGTGTTTGCAAGTTCGATTCACTCAATTCATGAGGTACCCGTCGTTCAAGTTTTTTTACTTTCCCGATTTGCTTCAAGTGGATTAACACAGTTTTATCACTTACCCCGAAGCCTGCAGCTATCTCTGAAGTGCTTTGTGATGGATCTGCTTCTACAATAGCCTTTAATTCTTCATTTTCCACTTTGGTCTCCGGCCGTCCACGGGGTTGGTTCTGAAGGTCGAAATTTCCAGAACGAACACGTTGAAACCAAAAATGTACCGAGCTTTCTTTTGCGACACCAGCGCCGTACACTACATTAATCCTTCGAGCTGTTTCTGCAGCACTGGTGCCACGGTAGAACTCGTACTCGTAAATATACCGATATGTCATGTTTTTCATTGTGCGGTAATAAGCGACGCCAAAGAAAAAAATAATGAGGAAAAAAACAAATGAATGTCTGTTTTCAAAACTCAAATGTACCAGCTAATGAATTTATAAATTTGGATTTGAAATTCTTAACCAAAGAGGAGATATTTCATATCAAAGTGGTCAGTACGACAAAACGCTAATGTCATATGTAAGGACATACATTATGTATTCTCACATAAATTATCGCATTAAGAAAAATAACACCATTCATTTCGAACGCCGGGGAAGATATCTAATCTAACATGAGAAAATGAGGCATTGAAAATAGTGAGTTTTAAAGATACCTACTCACTATAGGTAAATAGATAGGATGTTTCGCAGATGTGTTTTTTGATTATTGTTAATTTTTACGTGTCTCGTATTAAAAAGTAACATACCTACCTACTTACAAATTTTTGAAGTGAGCACCTTGTAACTTAGCCTGCTTATTACTTCTGCTGGCTGACATTATCCTCACCCCAATGATTGATGAGGATGAAAAAAAAACATGTTTGTTTTTATTTTTATTCAATTTTATTTCTACATACGTAATTATATTTATTTATACATAAGGGTTTTTTATGGGTTAAAAATTATACTCAAAACAAACAAATAATACTAGCTATAACTAACCTAATAAGTAATAATATTATCGACTGATAAGATGACGTGAGCGAGCATGTGCCACATGAGCAAAGAAACCGATGTGCGCTGGCCGACGCCGTGTCTAACGACACGGGTTTCACCTTCAAGAGCTTAGCGCTCACTGACTCTTGCAACCCCGTGGACGCCCAGTTTTTAAAATAATTTCTTAATAAAATCTAATGTTGGTCTTTTAAAAAAAAATAATCGATCAAAATGTTCATTAATAAATTACCTATCCATTAGTGTTGATTGCAAAATAAAATAATGCTTACTTTAGGAGGAGACGCATGTCATCAATAATTATTTCACATTTATGAGGTTTCGCTGTACGGAGATTATTTGAATATTTATTCCTTTAAAATAATTGGATATGGAATCAAGATTATGTAGAATTTTAATGTATTTTTATTAGTTGATATATCTTTTTAATAACATGTAGTTAGCTCCTAAAAACCGCACAAATAACGACTAGCGCGACATTTTGCTCAACCATGCGCCTTAAGTTTAAGGGATGACGGTAAATTAAAAAAAAATCGTAGGATATTGAAATATAAGCTTATTTTTCTAAAAATATAATAATATGAAATTTTCAAATCGTTTGAATGCTTAAAAATTAATAAATTATTTATTTCTTGCACTCTCAAAAAAAAACTAAAAATGAAGAAATTTAAAAAGAATTAAATTCGCTTATTATTTCCCTAGGTACTTACGATTTTTTTAAATTTACATTCATCCCTTAAAATTAAAACTTGGTTTATTTTAACCGGAGGAAAAAAAATCATATAACCTTTTTTATGTCAAATTTTAAGCACTATGCTACCGTTTTTGAGTAATTGCGAAAAAGCACTTTTGACATATTTTTTCAACCATTGCCGGGGGTAACAGCACGAAAACCTTTACACATTGTTTTTGTATCATTAAAACTACATAATATCAAAAATGCAAAGTTGAGTGCCAACATTTTGATTTCAGACATTTAACTGGACTTATAATAAGGGTGACAAACGAGCACACAGGCCACCTGATGGATGCTGCGGTCCATAATCCTCAACACTTATCCTCGATTTAGAATAAGAATCCAGATGCGTTGTCACCCCTGAGGACCGCGATGGTATGCGTCGTTTCCAATAAAAAAATGGTCTCCGGTTCTCTACACTCACCATACGAAACACTGCAGCATTAACCTGCTATTTTACGCTGGTATTCTGTTAGAGCGTATCGTCGAGCCGACTCATTCGTGCTTTACAAATAATCGAAACAACTTACGACAAATAGTCTCCAGCGTAGTATAAGCAAGGTACTTTTCGAAAAGATCGAAGGGCTCGCAGTTTACTTCTACCTCGAGTTTTCTTTGCAACTTTCGCGACTGCTCGTTGAATATCGGCAAAAAGTCGTCCACCATTGAGCCACTGAATGCAACCGCGAACTTTTTGACATTGTGTTTCCAAATCGACCCTGAAAAGTTATTCATAGCTAAAAAGTAGGTAGTGCAGGCTGTGTGGTGACAGTGTAAGATGGTGTACTATAATTTGAACCATCACCACGTTTTGTACCGTGTGAATCAAATGAGGTAACTAAGGGATATGCCAGATAAATCTTATAGTTTCCGTTAGATAGCGGCGGCATATCTATAATGTCTGCGCACACAACAACTCACCAAAGTTTCAGTAATTGGATGAATGGTTTCGTAACGCATAGAAGATGAATAAAGAAAATATTAATTATTATAATATTGTTGAACGCCACGATTAAAGCCTGATAAATGGCTACACTAGCTACCACTAGCACCCTCTAGTATCGAGTGGCAGAACTAGGAGAGTCAAAATCCTTCTAGAAATTTCCGTGGAAGAACTTTCTAGATCAATCTACAATCGGGACCGGTATGTACTCAAACATTCTAGATGTTTCTGCAGTTTTTAATATATAATAAAAACTGCCGATTAAATTACCAAAATTGACACTTTAATTACAGAACACTAATTCCAACTTAAAACCTATTAGTGTGTATATAAAGCACAATTGTACTACTGATCATTTTAGTCCGCAGTTATACCGCTTCGAAGTATTCGCTTATATCGCCAATTCAATACTGACTTGGTCGCGGTCTATACCGGCCTTATATAGGGCCTCAGGTAGTTTTCAGAACCTTCTACTATAGAAACATCTAAAATGTTCGAGTACATATCGGTCCCGATCTTTCTAGAAGGATCTTGACTCTCCCAGTTCTGCTACTCGATACTAGAGGGCGCTAGTGGTAATTAGTGTTGTCATGTACAAGACGTTAATAGTGGCGTACAACAATATATTAGCGACCCACCCCGGCTTCCGGGGAAATCGTCCATTCAAACACACACACACAATTTTTAATCAAAATCGGTCCAACCCTTTAGTAGGAGTACAGTGACAAACACGTATAGAAGAATTTTATATATATAAAGATTAAATTATTCATCCTTATCCTCAGGGGTGTCAACGCACCTTTAATATTTGCAGGTCTCTATGGGTTGCACTTAACTAGGGACTGTAAGCTCGTCTGTTCCCCTAATCATCATCATCATCATTACAGCCCTTCACAAGTCCACTACTGAACATAGGCCACCCCCAAGGAATGCTGCAAAGCATGATCCCGAGCCACCTGCATCCATTTAATTCCTGCATGTCTTACCAGGTCGTCACTCTATCAAGTGGGGGGACACCCTACATTTCGCCTGCCGGTACGAGGCTGCCACTCAAAACCCTTTCTTCCCCATCGATTGCCGATTCTTCAAGCTATATGGCCGGTCCATTGCCACTTCAGCTTACTAATCTGTTGGGCTATGCCGGTTACTCTGATTTTACTGCGGATATCCTCGTTTTTATATCCCCGAGCAAAGCCTTCTCCATAGCTCGCTGAGAGACTTTGAGCTTCCCCATATGGCCAGCAGGGAAGGACCACGTCTCAGATCCATAGGTTATCACTGGCAACTAGGGTTTGGGTCCCGGGACGTCTCGTGTCTCGATGTCCCGGGACTCTTCGTAATTTTAGCTGTCTCGAGTCCCGGGACTTTCGGGTCGAGACTCGAGACGAGACAAGATTGTTGAAATTGTTATGTTATCATTTTTATTTTCAAATAATTGAAGGAGCCTAGCGCCATGTGTTAGTTTAATGAATAATTACTTGGTATACTACGTAACTACTGAGTACGCAACATAACAAATGAAACAAAGATGTGATTATGAGAATTAACAATGAGATTATGAACTATGATTAGATACTAGAATTACTAGATAATAGTAAAGTTATTAAGAATTGGTATGATTTTTAACTAAGAACGTTTCATAACTATAAGATTTAACTGTTTAGAAGTGCATCTGTGTGTGACTAAAAGAAATAAACAAAACAATTATTAAGACTGAAATTAACGTTAAAGTTATTTAATTTTCTGTTTAATTGTTTAATAAATGTTGATTTTTACAAAAAAATTGCCTCTTTTTAATACGTTTCACCAGAAAATAACTCAACTAAAATTCGAAGGCTTATCCATCTTAAAAAAGGTCTCGGGAATTCCCGGGACATTGATTATAGGCTGTCCCGTGTCCCGGGACTTTGAAATTGTCGGGAATTTCCAAACCATACTGGCAACATGCACTGGTTTTACAATCTTTTTTTGAGGTTTTGAGGTATGCCTCACGAGAAGATGTGTCGTAATCTCCCGAACGCTGTCGAGCCGAGTTGAATTCGTGGATTGACCTCTCGGTCGAAATTGGATTTATATAGTCGGACTATTTATCCCAGTTAAACATAGGTACTTGTCATTAGTGCTTCCAACAACTACCGGCATAGGTGTGACATGGACGTTACAAATGGATTTTGTTTTATCCCTGTTCATCTTAAGACCTTTCCGTTGGGAGACACTATTGAGGTCATTAAGCATAGCGCTTTGGTCCTCCAGCGATTCTGTCCCCTAATCTTATAAAAAAAAACTTACCCGGTGCAGTGACGAGTCCATCCTTCAGCCATAAGCGAGCAAAATTGTAGAAGTATGGCTTTTCTAGAAAGTTGTTCGCGACCATCCTCGCGTCTTCGGGATCTGATAGTACTGGAAACAATTGTTAGTGTGATAGTCCCAAAATTTTGTGCAAAACATACTTTTTGTTCGTTTTCATAGAAGGCGTGACCAACAAAAACACAGTCCACCTGCTAGTAGGTAAACGTGGAGTCCCCCCCCCCCCCCCAATCTACTTAAATGTAACCTCATTCCTATCTTTATTATATAGCAAGATCTCAGGGCCACCAGACGTCACTTATTTTCTGACGAACGAAATGTTTATGATTGAATAATGTTAGTATGTACTATGATCGCATGCCTATCTGCCAGCTTGGCCTGTTTGCTATTTTCCAGGTATCGGGTAATCAAGATACGATTTTTACGTAAATGTTAGATAAAATCGTTAAAAGTCAGTTATAAATACTTCCAGACACTTTCTGTTGGCAGTATCGTATATGTATAAATCACATTTAGAATTCTAAAGACAGAGGTTGCCAACTGTACGAATGTGTAGAAAAGCGAGTGGCCTTACCAAATTAGCATTACCAATTATTTTACCATTTTTTTTTTGCCATTAATGTAGTAGACTTCTTAATACATACTTATATATTTATATATAAAAATTACGTGTCACATTGTTTGTCCGCGATGAACTCCTAAACTACTAAACTGATTGCAATGAAATTTTGCACACTGTGTGCAGTTTGGTCCAACTTGAGAGATATAATAGTTTTTAAGTACCCCTATAAGTGACCCTCAATATTTTTTATTAAGATTTTAAGAATTTTTATAGGACATAGGGTCGTCGGAGAGGGCAGAACAACGTCTGCCTGGCCAGCTAGTATACTATAATTAATTTTATAAGTCCACTGTTGAATATAAGTCTTCCCTAAGGAATGCCACAAAACACGGTCCTGAACAACCTGCATCTATTGACTCCCTACATCTCTTACCAGGTCGTCATGACATCGAGTGGGGGCTGCCTTACACTTCACTTACTGGTACGAGGCTGCCGCTCGAGAACAGAATTATTTTTAATATAATTATCCAAACCTCTAAGTTATTTATCTAATTAGGTATTAATCTTGAACTCACTTATAAAACAACATTGCCCTATCCATATAACAAATGGTTGCCTTCTTTCTTCCATGATAGTAGTTAAGTTTTCCAAGAAATTGAATGCATCTGAAAACATGACAAGATTGGTTAGACAAACTGTACCCTAAATTCTTAATTTTTTATTTATTTACTAGCTGTCCCTCGCGACTTCGTCCGCGTGGAATTTACTACGATTTCAAGGGTTTTAATTTTTTTGCACGGAACCCTGATTCTTTTTTTAAAATAAAAGTATTCTTAGTTACTCCTTATAGCATCAGCTATCTGCCAGTGAAACTTCCGTCAAAATCGGTCCAGTCGTTTCGGAGATTAGCCGCAACAAATAGACAGACAGACAGACAGACAAAAATGTTGAAAATTGTCTTTTTATTATTAGTACCGTTAATACTTTCATATGCATTTAGTAAAAAGCTGTTAGTTTAACATTACAAACAGACACTTCAATTTTATTTATTTGTATAGATTATAAGCCAGTGCTGGACTATAATCCCAACTGGTGGTATGTGGTAATGAAGCCCTAAATGGTAAATCGCACTGTCTTAGCGTAACAAAAACCTATTCACTCTTGCCTTGAAGACGTCCAGATTGTATTTTTTTTATAGGATAAGGGTGACAAACGAGCACACAGTCCACCTGATGGTAAGTGGTTGCTGCGGCCCATAGAGATCTACATCTACCGATGCGTTGTCAACCGTGAGGACTAAGATGGAATGCCTCATTTCCAGTAAAAAGGGCCTCCGGCCACCTGCACTCACCAAGCGAAACGCAGAGGTAAACCTCTACTTCACGCTGGTTTTCTGTGAGGTCGTGGTACCACCCCGGTTCGAGCCGGCCCATCCGTGCGACAGCAAAAGCTGCCGCGTGGCGCTACCACTGTTCATTCGTATTCGGACAGAAAGGCAGAAAAAGACAATAACACTAAAATAAAGACAATAATACTACAAAATATTAAAAAAATGGCGTTTGTTTGTATTCCTCAGTATAACAGGGATGTTTGTGTGAGGCCTGCGGTGTAGTGGCGCTGAAAGAGATTCCACTATGAAGTAGTCATCTCTTGAGTGTCGAAAGGTGCGGCAGAGGAAAACTGAAGCCCTGTAGTGAGTGTTTATGTTAATCCATGCAAGCAGGGATGGAGAATCAATCATAGAGTGTACTATTTTATGTAGATATATAAGCCCGAACCTTATGCGTCTCGTTTCGTTGAACACAGGCCGCACCTTATTTCTGAGAGGGTTATGTAGCAGCTCGCCGCGAAGCTCCAGTGCGTCTTAGCGAACTCTACATCATGTAGTCGAAAAATTTCTAAGACATTAACCCTTTATAAAGTCAGAGTAAACGGCAAGTGTTAGCAACTTCAACCAAAGTAAAGTTAGTATGATTGAGATAACCACAATATATTCTTTAAATATATGGCCAATCATGTCATGAATCAATCAAATCATCCAACTTTTACAACTACCCTCATTCATTGTATCTACTTTAAAACTTTATTTTTAACCGGCTTCATAAAAAGAAGAGATTCAGAATTCGGATGTATGTATATATATTTTTATATATGTTCGGGCATAACTCCGTCTTATATAGATGGAATTGCAAAATTATTTTTTTGTTCGGAAGAGGTTTCGGAGACAGACAACGGAACTCTTCAATAAATGCCATCAAATGTACTGCGATTGCCGCTATCGCATATCTATGCATTGTTTACGCAATTATACAACATAACAGCATGCCTGCACCTTTTAAAGGGGTACGCAGATGTGTTGAATATACCACGGTATACCCTCATTTCTGTATAAGTTGTTACATAGAAGTCGAATGTACAATTTTTTTTTATTTTACCACTTGTCTTATTCAGAATCTTCATCAGTCCAAGAATGAATGATACGGAGCGCTGCGTCCATTTCAAATGCTCAACTTCTTGCACGCACTCACGGATACATCTTTATTATTCCTTTATTAGCAGAAACAGAAATAGAAACAGAAACTTTTTTTATTCAATATAGATTATCTATAATATAAAAATGAATCGCTGAATGTGTTGCTAAGCGCAAATCTCGAGAGCAGCTGGACCGATTTCGCTAATTCTTTTTTTATAATATTCCTTGAAGTACGAAGATGGTTCGTACGGAGAGAAAAGTTTAAAAAATTGCCTGAAATAGTCTAAAAACAACACTTTTCTATATTAATATACAAAAGATTCGTAACAATACTTATAACACAATTTGAACTTTAATACCATACCATAAAGTTTAAGTGTTAGTGGAGGGGTTCCGGGAAGGCAAAACAATGAAACGGCAGTCAATTAAATATGACGATGTAAATAATGCTCTATCGAAACTAGTACATTGGTTTAACGCCAACAATTTGCTCTTAAACGGCAATAAGACAAAATGTATTAAATTTACAATACCTAATGTAAAACATTCGAAAACCAATGTGCTCTTAAATGGGGAGGAGTTGAGTCTTGTGGATACCACTGTTTTTCTCGGTATTACTATTGACGCGAAACTTCAATGGGTCATATATCTATGGCCATATATCTAAATTAGCAAGCAGACTTAGTTCTGCAGCATATGCTGTAAGAAAGATTAGAAGTCTCACAGATGTTGAGACAGCTAGGTTAGTGTATTTTAGTTAATTTCATAGCGTAATGTCTTATGGAATTTCGCTATGGGGTAATGCGACTGATATTGAAGCTATATTTGTTTTGCAAAAGAGAGCCGTACGATTTATAATCTAAATTGTAAAGAGTCCCTCAGAGAAAAATTTAAAGAAATAAACATATTAACTTTGGCATCGCAATATATTTATGAAAATGTAATGTATGTATATAAAAACATAAATAGCTTTAATAAGAATAAGGATGTTCATACCTTAAACACTAGGAACAAACATAAGCTTGTAATGCCACTTACTAGACTCCACAGAATTAGTAATTCATTTATGGCGCAATGTATACGCTTTTACAACAAAATCCCAGAACATGTTCAAAGTTTGTCAATAAACAAGTTTAAAAGTTTTATTAAAGAAAAACTGTACAAAAAGGGTTATTATAATATCAAGGAATACATGAATGAAAATTACCCTGGGAATAAGGTGATCGCCACCATGCTGGTTTTATGAAAATTCATTTAAAATTGTATAAACAAAGTTATTGTTAAATGAAATTATGTTTAAAAAAAAGTCCCGCTGGGTTGAAAAGTCGCGGTGGGTGAGTCCGTACCAGTGGTAAATAAAATAATGACTTTCAATAAGTATTATGTAATAATCCATATTGAATAAAAATCATTCTATTCTATTCTATTCTAATGAAGTGACATTAGTATCGTATAAATATTAATGTCAATATTTATACACACTGGCAGATAGCTGATGTTATGAGGAGTAACTTGGGCTGCTTTTATATTAGGGTTCCGCGAAAAATAACTCCACGCGGGTGAAGTCGCGGGGAACAGCTAGTCCTATATAATACTTATTGAAAGTCACTCTTTTGTTAAATTACCACTGGTTCGAAAAAAAAAGCCTCTGTCCTGGGAAGAACCAGCAAGAAACCCAGCGGGAAAGAAAAACCAGCCTACAATCATGTATGTTACACAATTACCAACACAACAATTAGAATTTAGAATTTGTCCACATAATTAAGCTGGACGTATAATATGCAGATAAAACCACGATTGCAAATGACTTTAGATGTATATGTGAGTTCGTGTTCATATAATAAGCTGATCATGGTTTTGGCTTAGTTTTTGCAACACTTGAAATCTACGAAGCGCTCCGCTGTTTCGTTGGTCTGAGGTTTCTACTTGAATTTTGCTTAAAATTGCCATTAACAATTTCATTGACAGCGGTGGTGATCGAATTGTTAGTACAAATCTAAATTAAAAATATATATTTTTTTGGCTACATCGTTTGTCATGCGTACAGCAAATGTCTGGAATAAGCTGCCAGCGTCTGTCTTTCCATCCGATTACAATGTGAGCGTGTTCAAGGCAAAAGTGAATAGGCTCTTGTTAAGTCAGTGCGCTTCACCATCGTCGAATGCATCACCACTTATCATCAGGTGGGATTGTAGTTAAGCGCTGGCTTAGAATAGTAAAAAGAAAGAAAAACGTTACTCTGTCCATCGCCAAAGAACTTGTACATGTTGCCGATGAAGGGGAGGCACTTGTAGGTGGGCAAGTGCGAGACCATGCTTCGCGTACGCCGCGTCAGCAGTCTCATGTACACATGTAGGAGTGTGAGGATCGCACCAAGTAACACTAGCCAAAACATCTGTGGGATAGAATGATTATTCTAAATGCAAACAGAAGCAATAATAACTTGTCTATATTAAAATATTATTGATTTCTGGATCTCGACAACGCCACTTAACAGGTCCAATTGCGAATCTAAACCATTCTCTAATCAACTTAATTATACACAAAAAATTTCATCAAAATCGTTCCAGTAGTTTAGGGAGAGTTCAGTCACATATACACCGACAGAAGAATTATATAATATGTAATATGCATGTATTTATTATACATATAAATCTTTCTCTTGAATCTTTCTATCTATGAATGAAAACTATATCAAAATCCGTTGCGCAGTTTAAAAGATCTAAGGGTACAGACGGTTGGAAGCGACTTTGTTTTATACTATGTAGAGATTAAAGGTGCATAAATGCATTTCCTTTATCCTTAATCGGCCCGTTCACAGCTAGATTAAGGTGAAAGCTCCAGGATGGCCCGCGAAATTCAAATTTTTTTAACTTCGAGGGTTGTATTGGTGATTTTAATGATAATAATTCTATAAATACATACTCGTTACGGTCGCGAATCATATTTTGTTAAACATTCAACCTGACCCTGACCTGCAAAGTCAAAAAACGTAAGAAAATTTGAATTTCGCGGGCCACCCTGGAGCTTTCACCTTAAACGGGCAGATTAATGCGATTATTTATATGCCGCTTCCGTTGTAGGGAGGTAAACGTTGCAACGGATTGACAAACGCAGTTCCAGACCTTTTGCCAGTCTGGGTAGTAGTATAAGTGTGACTCGTAATCTGACACAATGAATCAATATTGTTCTATTATATTAAAAGTGATTAAAAGGCATACCCTTAGAACAATAACGCATTTTCCTTTGGAATTCTAAGTCGAATGAAAAACAATTAACTTAAAAGTAGCCAGTTTTAGAAACGAATTATTTATTAACCGACTTCAAAAAGGAGGAAGTTCTCAATTCGATTGTATGTTTTTTTGTAAAAACTCGAAATACATTACCACCCTCCCTGGGGCAGTCGGGTAAAAATATTAATACTATATATTTTTTCATGCACAATTTACTTACTAGCTCGTTTCATTATGGAGAGCGTCCAGTTAAGTTCATCATCATCATCATCATTACAGCCCTTCACAAGTCCACTGCTGAACATAGGCCTCCCCAAGGAATGCCACAAAGCACGGACCTGAGCCACCTGCATCCATCGACTTCCTGCATGTCTTACCAGGTCGTCACTCCATCTCGTGGGGGGTCGCCCTACGCTTCGCCCTACGCTTCGCCTACCGGTACGAGGCTGCCACTCTAGAACGCGCTTAGCAACACATTCAGCGATTCATCGGTTGTCGGTTCTTCGAGCTATATGGTCGGCCCAATGCCACTTCAGCTTACTAATCCTTTGAGCTATGTCGGTTACTCTGGTTGTACTGCGAATATTCTCATTTATAAGTTTATCACGCAGAGAAACCCCGAGCATAGCCCTCTCCATAGCTCGCTGAGCGACCTTGAGCTTCCTCATACGGCCAGCAGTGAAGGACCACGTCTCAGATCCGTAAGTCATCACTGGCAACACGCACTGGTTGTACAATTTCGTTTTAAGGTTTTGAGGTATGTCTGACGAGAAGATGTGTCGTAGTTTCCCGAACACTGCCCAGCCGAGTTGAATCCGTCGATTGACCTCTCGGTCGAAGTTGGACTTACCTAGTCGGACTATTTGTCCAGGTAAACATACTCGTCAACAACTACGATCTTAGTGCTCCCAACAACTACCGGCATAGGTGTGACATGGACTTTAAACATGATCTTTGTTTTGTCCATGTTCATCTTAAGACCTATCCGTTGGGAGACACTATTGAGGTCATTGAGCATGGTGCTTAGGTCCTCCAGCGATTCTGCCATAAGGACTATATCGTCGGCAAATCGAAGGTGAGTGATGTACTCGCCACTAATGTTAGTACCGTATTCTTTCCAGTCCAGAAGCTTGAAAACGTCTACCAACGCAGCGGTGAAGAGTTTCGGGGATATAACATCACCCTGTCTTATACCTCTCTGCAATTGGATAGGTTTCGTACTCTGGTTCTGTAGTCGGATAGCCATCGTAGCTCTACTGTACAAACACTTCAGCACTTCGATATACCGACAGTCAACTTGGCACCGCTGAAGGGACTGCAGCACCGCCCAAATTTCGACGGAATCAAAGGCCTTCTCATAGTCCACATACGCCAGACATAGTGGCAAATTGTACTCCTCGGACTTCGATACAACTTGCCGAAGGGTATGTATGTGGTCTATGGTGCTAAAGCCCTTTCGGAAACCGGCTTGTTCGGGAGGCTGGAAGTCGTCAAGTCTGCGCGCGAGACGATTCGTAATGACTCTCGAAAACAGCACGTAGACGCGGCTCAGAAGGGAAATCGGTCTGCAGTTCTTCAAGACAGCGTAGTCACCTTTTTTGAAGAACAAGACCACCGCACTTCTGCTCCATACCTCCGGTGTAATGCCACCATGGAAGACGGAATTAAAGAGCTTCTGAAGGACCTCACATACCGGTTTTCCACCCGCTTTCAGAAGCTCCGCTGTAATTACATCCTCGCCTAGGGCCTTGCCGTTTTTAAGGTGCTGGAGAGTCATTCTAATCTCGCTCAGACTGACTTTCAAGATATGTTCGGAATAGTGTCGGATAAGACTCGCTCTTGGATCGTTACTCACTCTTGCGTGTGTCTCCAACGATGACGTGTACAGCTGCCCATAGAACCTCTCAATCTCACTCAAAATCTCAGGTGCCCCGGAAACGATGCTGCCACACTCGGTCTTCAGCTTTGACAGTTGGCTCTTTCTGGCAGACAGATCTCTGGCAAAGACTTTGGAGCCTTGGTTCCGCTCGATCGCTTCTTCAATACAGGCTGTATTGAAGTTGCGTAAGTCCCGTCGCATGCATTTGGAGATCTGTCTGTTCAGTTGCCTGTATGCTGTCAAATCTGTTGAAGAATGTAGCTTCATCTCCCGTCTAACAGCCATGAGATTGAGAGTGTGATCGGAGATTTTTTGTGTTCGTCTGAGGCGGGTCTTGCAGAACTTAGCTCCGACCGCATGGACAGTTTGCACGAGCTTGTCATTCATATCGTCCACTTCATTGCAGTTTTCTAGTCACTGAAAACGGTTTTTTAACTCGAGCTGAAAAGTTTCGGGACTTTGGAACAGAGCACGAGGGGGACGGAGCGTTGAATTCATTAGACGAGACCTCTCAAACTTAACGTTGAGGTTCAGTGTGCCTCTAACCATTCGGTGATCGCTACCAGTTTTCACCCTCGCGATCACGGAGACATCACTAAACAGTTGTTGTCTGGTCGTCATAATGAAGTCAATCTCATTTTTTGTCGAACCGTCGGGGCTCGACCAGGTCCACTTCCTGTGGGACCGCTTCTGGAAGAAAGAGTTCATCTTAAAGAGTCCCTCTTTCTCCATGAAGTCGGCCAGCTGCTGGCCCCTTGGGTTCCGTTGCCCTATTCCAAATTTCCCTACTTTCAGCTGACCGTTCTCTCTTGTGCCTAGTTTTGCATTGAAGTCTCCCATTAACACCGTATATTGGGTTTTGGAGGAATGCATGGCTCTAGAAATATCCTCATACATTTCCTCCACCTCCTCATCGGGGTGTGCCGAGGTTGGTGCGTAAACCTGTATGACCTTCAGCGAATACCGTTTGGTGATTCTGAGTATAAGGTACGCAACCCTCGTCGACACACTCTCTATCTTTACAACGTTGTTAACGAGAGACTTGTGGACGATAAATCCGACAGCTCTTTGGGACAGATGGTCGCCCTCCCGGTAATAGAACAAGTTGCCGGATTCGAGGATTACCGTGTCCTCCCCCTCTCTTCGGACTTCGGATAATCCTATAATATGCCAGCGTAACTTGTCTATCTCTTCTTCCAGCTCCACAATCTTCTCGTTAGTCCTCAGGGTGCGTGCGTTGTATGTTGCCAGGTCGAGTCGTCTTAGGTGGCAACCGAACCTCCACCGGAGATTCTTAGCACCCCCTGCCCCGCCGTTACCATGGTTGCCACCGTAGCCAGGAATAGCGGGGCCGCCGGCGACTGGGGGCCGTCTCTTTGTTACTTTCATAGGGGGGTATTTACCACAGTTGCCACGATTGGCGAGCGGGTTGGCAACCGCAGTTTTTGTATTGTATTTTTGCTGTTATCAGGAAGATGCTGCTGCCCATCTCCTGCCTGTTTCCCTTTGTCGCCTTTTACGACACCGGTAGTGGATATTCTTAACCGCCACTACACGGCAACTTTTTGTATGTATGTTACGCGATATTTTCGCAGATTGTGAACTAATTTTGATGACTTTTTTATTAAATAGATTACACTTCAAAGGAATTTATATGGGACCACTCATATAAATTTGGACAAGAAGTTCCACCCCTAAGGGAGCTACATAAATAAATTATTTTTTAAGCAATTTGAAGACGGTTTTTACTTTTTGTTAAAAGTTATTATTAAAGACTTATTATACAGCATTTTTATTATTATATACTGTATTTATTTTGTTACTATATGGAAGAGGCGTTTAAAGTTGAAGTATATCCCGAAATATATATAAAAATAGATTTTTCGATTTGATTTGGTATGATTTATAAGGAAACTTCATAATTATTTTACAAGAATTTTTGTACCTACGGTCAAAAACTGTCACTCTGTTTACTTAAAGTACACTAAAATACATTTGTGATATTTTGTGTGTGTGTGACGTAACTAAAGATTTTTTTTAACCGTAGTAGAGCCATGCTGCAGCTGTATTAATTGTATAGTTGTAGCATGAGTGGGTCGACTCGACCGGGGAAAGACTACGATCTCACAGAACACCAGCGTAAAATAGCAGCTTAATGCTGCTGTGTTTCGTATGGTGAGTGTAGAAAACCGGAGACCCTTTTCACTGGAAAAGAGACAATCCATCTTAGTCCTCACGCTTCACAACGCATCCGCATTTTGATTCGCGAACGAGGATAGATGT